CAGGCCGCCCGCGGCGGGAAGGGGGAACCCCGTCCCTGCGGAGCTTGTCCGTCCCCCCGGGCTCACCCCGCGGCGCGCCGCTCCGCCGGGGCGCTCCTGGCAAATGGCGGCTGCGGTGCGGCTTGGCGGGTCTCGGTGCTCCTCTCGTCACAAGCCGCGTGGGAAGCCCTCGGGCTCCCCGTGATGGCGTTCCGAATATCAGATCGAGAACGCGTCTTCCCGAGGGACAAGCGGCCTTCGCTGGCACAGGCTTCGCGTTGCGGGCGCGCTTTGTTGGGCTGCCAGGTAGCTCTGCGGCACCTGGCGAGGTGAGACCCGCCGGGGAGGCGGCGTGCGAGCCTCCCCGTGAGCTCCTCTGCCCGTCGGGTAGCGTTACCGACGGGTCGGTAGCGGCCCTTCGTGTTCTGGAAACCCAGAGCAGAGCTGAGGGTAAGAAGAGACGCATTGACGGGGTTACAGCTCCCGCTGGGGACGTTGGCGTGCCCGCCGGCTGCCTGGGAGAGGTTTTGCACCTGCAGGTTGAGCTTTTGGTAGGGACGCCGTGGTACTTGAGCTCCTCAGCTACGGCAGGTTTTGGGGGGGGGGGGGGGTTCAGCACCCATCAGAGCAACGGAGCCAGCGTAGCGTCCGAGAGACCTGGTGGTAAATGGCAAGAGTTGGTCTTTGCTCTAAAGGCATTCGCGCATTCGTTCTTCTTCACATCGGCGTTCCCTGGTGGGATGTGCGCAGCTCGTAGCTGGGGCGACCTGCGCTTCTCCAGTGATCTCCTCTGTTATGTGAAGTGTAGAGACAATCGTTAGCGGCTGGCCTCGGTGCTGCATGGTGGACCATCACCGTACAGTGAATATGGAGGTACCGCGCCTGGGCTTCCTTAGATGCAGCGTCTCTTTCTGCCTGGAGCCCTTGTCTGGATACAACTCGGCCCCTTTTCCCGGGACTTCTACCAATATAGAATCTTGATCTAAACTTCATGGATAGAAGTGTAAACGTTGTTGTGTTGTAGGTTACTGCTTAACATCACAAACTATTTGCAGAATGGTTTTAGTGAATTTAATACAACTGAATCCCTGAGTGGCGAGACCAAGATTAGACAGGTAGAATTTCTCCCTCGCAGGCCTTGATAACAACAGCTTTTAAAAAACTTTGGGTTAAAATTGTTGATACGTGGGTTTTGGCTTCAAAAGGGATTATTTTATAGATAACTGACTTTATAGGTAGTAAATGTATTGGGGGGGATTTTTTTTCCCTGGTTCTTTTGGGTATTTAACAACCCCCAAAAAGATGTACGTGCCATTTCTCGCACTACCTGTTTCTTAACAACAAGCTGTGAAGTAACCAGATGTGAATCAGAATGTTTTTATTATTCCTTGCAAATTTGTATGCAAGCGTTCTTTTCCCTTATTGAAGCTGAGGCAAGATTCAGATTTCTTAAAAAGCACGTGCAAGATGCTTTTGTCAGCGTGTAAAGGAGAGGTGTGACTTTAATATTGTTGTTTTGGGGCTTATTTGCGTGAAGACTG